TAAAATGTGTCCATAGTATTTTGATAACTATGTAAGTTATGTTAAGAATCGGCATGAATATTGTACTAGAGCATCTTCTAATATGAAATTAGTTGTACTGAAATGCCATACAAGATCTGGACTTCGTTGTTTTCATGCTAGTGCCGTTCGTCTCTGGAATGAACTTAATGTGAATAGTATGAATATTAGTGGGTTAGGTAAATTTAAAAACACTTAGTTAATAAAACACTTTTAGTAAATGAAAGTTGTGATCATTTTCTGGTCACACAGACATTCTAATTGAAATATGTAGATATTGTAATTTAATTAAACTATATATATTTTTGGACCACAATGTAAAATACTGGTTTACCAGTAATTTGTGTAATCCTATAGTAAAGTTCATTAAAGTTCATTAAATGATTCCCAACTGAGAGCAGATGAGCTACTACTTTATTCACTCATGACACTCACATTTCCAATTCAAACCTTCTAAATACAACGAAATAATCAGTGTAATTTTCCAGATAACTGGGGTGAAATACAGCAGCCATAGTATAAGAAACTATTTTTATCGGGTTCGTACAAATAGTCTCAAGGGTTTTGGAAAATCAAATGGCACATGTAGATGGAACTATTATCAGGCAAAGGTGAAATCCTTTACAAACTTAAACAGGCACTTTCTTGAACAAGCACTAGATGGTTCTGAGATTGAAGAGTCATTAATCAACTCAGTTATGCAGCAATTGACATTTCATTGCACACCAGAAGTACATGTAAGATTTGACCCAGAGAACGGCCAAAAGTTTGATATTTGCAATGCAAATCGACAGTTTGAATTGGAAATTATGCCGAAACTTACTAGTCAATGGTCTAATTATTTCAACAATGCAAAGAATACACTACATTTCTATCAGTTTGGTAACTGCCCTGGTTATGCTGAACGAGAAATAGAGGTGACAGCTGATGGAACTTGGTCTATGCACTTTGAAGGTAAACATCGTAACATAAACATGGACTGGTTGGATATTTCAGATACTCTGAAGAGTTGTGCAGATCTGGTTGAGCTCCTTAATACTGTTGGTGGACTAAAATCATGCCAAGGTTGTAATTTTGACAAGTATAGGTCTCTAATACAGGGTGAAATTTGCGACCAGGAACCAGTTTTCAAAACCAAGGATGGCACTCCAGCTGCAATGATCGATTTCATGGTGTCTAAAGATAAAGAGAAACTAATTAGATAGCCAAAATGTTTGATATTTCTTGTTGAGAGTAATTTGGTCAAAACACCCAACACTTGCGAAGCATGCAAAAACACAGACCAATATTTAAGGACAATGCTATCAAGAAAAAACAACGATGAAGGAAAACATTGCCAAAGGGTACGGTTAGATTATTTGTCGAAAGAAGACCTCCTCGACCATGCAAGGAATGCTATAAAAGATATGAAATACTGGAAACAGAGGTGTCAACGCATGCAAGAATACAGAAACAAAATTACCACAGTTGGGCCAAAAACAAACAATGACCTCCAAACATTGTTCACAAAAATGTACAATGGAATTTCCGAAAAAAAACATCATCTACAAAATCCCATATGCCAATGGAAAGAGTGTCATGAAAAATTTGAAAACGTCGAGCTACTCTATGACCACACTAAACAACATGCCGAGAAAGTTGATACTATAACAGTTGCACCAATAGAAAAGGACTACAGATGTCAATGGGAAAGATGTGATAAACATTTTGGCAAGCTGAAATTACTCCATAATCACAAGAGAGAACATACTGGCTATGTAAAAGATAAACTTATGGAAATCCTGTTAAAAGACCAAGCAATGGCTTTGCAAAAACCTGCAAAACGGATGAAATGCCACCCGTTGGTAATACAGTGGTGTTTAAAATTGTATTGCAAATCCCACTCAATCTACGAGAGCATGCAATCTTCTGGAGCCCTTAAATTACCAAGTGGCGGGACCCTATCAGACTACCAGAACTTCAACAATCCTAAATCTGGTTGGAATTCAGAAACAATTGAAAGCATGAAAATGAAATTCGACAAAATGAAACCGCCCAAACATGCCAAATTAGGAGGTTTGTTCTTTGATGAAGTCAAAATTAAAGAAGGCCTTGTGTTTGACAGCAGCTCATGGGAACTTATTGGATTTACGGACATACATGAAGAAAATGGAACAAATAACCCACTCGACAAGCTTGCAACTCGTGTCCTACAATTCTTTTACAGGAGTCTATTTTTTAAATTTGACTTTCCATGTGCATATTTTCTAACACAAGGTGCTACAGCAGTTCAGCTTAACCGTATGTTCTGGTTTGGCATCAGCTTACTACACAGCTTTGGTTTTGATGTACTTCTTGTATGTTGTGATGGTGCATCATCCAACAGAACATTTTACACCATGAATACCAACAACCCATTGCACTCTAAATGCTTGAATCCGTTATCAAACTACCCAATATTTTTCATGTCAGATCCACCACACTTAATGAAAAATTTGTTCAACAGTGGCTTTAATCATAAACGATTTACTCGTCACATGATGAAAAATGAAAACTATATACTATGGGATCATGTTAATGATGTGTATAAAAGAGAAAAGTTAAGGAACCTCTACGTCACAGATCTTCGTAGCTCGCACATTAACCAAGATAACCTTAGTAAAATGCGTGTAAAACTGGCGGTGCAAACATTGTCAGAAAAAGTGACCAGCGAGATGAGCAAGTGTGATGATGACAACACAAAGGCTACCCAAAACTATATAACAATCTGTAGTAAATTTTGGAGTGTTTTTAATTCTGCTAAACCATTACGTGCAAAAGATGTGGAAATTATTCAACTGCTTGATGATGTAGTCAAATTGTTCAAAGATTGGCAATAAACATTGCAAAGTCAATTTGAAACTAAAACTGAACAAGCCAAGCACTTTATATCCTGGCAGACAATGTTTTATTTGATGGTAAATACACTGTATTTGATTTATTAATTAAACATTGTTACCTGAGCAGAACCAGACTCAAGTACAGTACCATGGTAACTTATTTGATACTAAATAAGTTGATTTTAACTGGGTCCCATAAACATCCTAACATTTCTTTCAAACCATTACTGTAACCAAAATTGTAGCTTTGTTTTCTTTTCTTTTCTTAAAGGGTACCATAGATGCATTCAAGAAATTCCTTGATTTTATTGCAAGTGAAAAGTTTGTTGAGGAGTATGGTGAGCTATTTGTCATGCCAATTAAGCTAAATCAAGACTTTGTAGAGTCTTTCTTTTCGTCTCAACGACAAATGTGTGGCGGCACACAAAATATGACAGCGTTTGTTTACTCATACAACATCAATGGCTACAGTTGTGCTCAAACGGCAAAGGCACTGGGAAACAAACAAACAAATGTTTATGAACTGCAAGAAACAATGACCTACTTTGATGGCAATAACAATTTCCCAAAAAGAAGAAATGAAAACAGTATTTACAATTTAGTCGAATGGTACATTGACGTATAGCAACACATGTCGTGTCTCTACTTTCAATGGTGGTTCAGGATGAATATTCCACTGTGTACAGGGTATACTATAGAAATTATCCTATTGTTATAATTTGGACACCTGAGCACTATGCTGAATACAATAATGCGTAAACACAATTGAATTGAATTTTTAATTACCATGCATGTGCATGAAATCCTTTGCTTATAATTTCTATAGTCAGTGTGTCACTTTTTTTGGAACACCCTGTATAAGTAGACAATCTATCCAAAGAAATACCTACCATATTTATTATCTGAGAAGTACAATTGGTCATGCTCTTGCACCCAGAAAATTTTAAAATTAAGGGCTTGTTTATATGGAAGCTGGGCTGGCCTGGATATGAGAAAATTTCATCCCGCTTGCCGGGACAATTTTTGTTTTTGACATTGTTTTGACAGTTGTTAAAAACAGCTTGCGGCAGTATCTTTGATCTTTCATCCCGGCAACTGGGCTAGCCCGCTCGTGACTGTTTATATGGAAAAAGTTCAATCCCAGTAAGCGAGATCTCGCATGTTTCAAGCGATATCTCAGCAACTGGAACAGCCCGTTTGACCATGTAGACGCACAATAATTTTTACTATAAAAATAACTACATAGCGAGATCTCGCTTACTGGGCTGTTTCGCTTAACGGGCAAGCCTGGCTTCCATATAAACAGGCCCTAAGACAGCAACATGGATACAGTATATTGTGTAGTATTCCCAAAAATTTATAACCAATAATGGGGCAGTGGTGGATATTTCTTTTTAACCTTTTGTATACTGTATAAAGAATTATAAAATAAAACTTACTTTTCGACCATCAATATCCAGTCTGGAATGTTAAATTTTTGCATGCCAGACATCAATTCAGGCACATGAACTGTATTCCAATCTTGCAAAGATAAATGTGCAAAAGTTCCAAATACACCTTTGTAGTATAAACCTATTTGGTCCATATTTGTTGAATTTGAACAATTACTAGTCTATGTAAACAAATGTATGCCACAAAGTTTGTGTTTATACACTGGACACTTTACATTCCAGTCTGGATCAATATACAGACAGTCAGGTGTAGGTTTTTTTAGTTACTTTTTGCCGCCAGATAGTGTTTGTCGCAAACTCTTACTCCGTTTCTGGGGCTTAAGACTTAGCTGTTCCCGAATGATTTGTTGTTTGGACTTTGCAAACATTGAGGTTATTCTTTGTAAAAGAATTACACTTCCGGCTTCTTCCTGGTCACTTGACAAATCACCAACAACCTTCCTCCACTCAGTACGCAAATATTTGCTTTCTGACAAGTACTTTAAACAGCAAATTACTGTATCTTTATCAATATCAGATTTGAAAAATTTTCCATCTCTTTATGTAAAACAATAAAGAAATCAAGAAGAGCATCATTAATTATAAATAAAAATTTTCCAGAGTCTTGACGATGATCGGTTCCCATCCTTTTCAACAGATTAAGTAAACACTCTTTTGAAACCGTTGTTGAAGTGCTGTCATCTTTTGATCGTTTTATTGAAAAAGGTACCGAGGAAGGAAGAATTCCATCTCGCGCCCTTTTCACCGCCCAGCCAGCATGGTGACGGATAGCTTGTTTTTCAGCTTCATCCACACAATCGGTCTTCATTTGAATTCCAATTCCTGTGATATCAGAGCTCGCATCAGTTGCACTAAATTTCAGTGCCACAAAACTCCAAAAATACTGCAAAATGTGTTGATAAACAATCTTTGCTTCGGCTTCGACTTGGCAAGCATTTGTACCACATTTATCAGCCACGAGTTGCTTCCAACTGATGTATAGTGCCGACGTTTTGTCATATCTAAGCGCCGAAAACTCCTTCTCTAATTTGATAGCGCGTAGATTATCACTCTTCACTTTATTTGCACGATCACAGCATTGTCTAAATGCATCGGTAAGTGATGACACAAAACAAGACAAAGGCTTGAAATATTCCTTCTCAAGCGTGTTTGCGACAATTTTTGCTGCAAATTCAGCTTCGGGCTTTATCTTGCTCAACGAAACCCGATTTAGCACGCTGATTAAGTCTTTATTAGTAAAACTAGTATTCGTTTCCACTGTTAAAGATAATTTAGACGTATCTGTTACCAGATCGGTATCATCCGGACTAAAAATTAATTCAAATTCAGCAGCTTCGTCTTTGCTCGTGCTAGCGCAGTCCGCCATGTTTTTAAAAATGTTTTTCGAATCTCAATGCTCGTTTCACCGCCTCATCTTGTAAACGCCCTGTTGTAGCTGACTACATATTTTTGAAGTAGCTGTAGTTATAGCGAACTACAAAAATTTGTAGTCAACCCACCCTTGTTATTATTATTATTATTATTATTATTATTATTATTATTATTATTATTATTATTATTATTATTATTATTATTATTATTATTATTATTATTATTAT